TGGTGGAAGATAACTTCAGGGACACTCGATCAGAAATCCAGAGGAACAAGGATATAAAGACCAGTGTTGCTTCAACCACAACTATGGGAAACCCATGTTTGGATTCCTTGACATCGGCAATGGACAAGGATCAAATTTCGCAAGGTAAAAGCACACCAAGTCTCAACTGCTATCCCGAATCCGTTTCAGATCACTACACGGACTACGAGGAAGTAGGGTTTCACACTGAATATGGCAAGAACTACAGCAAATCTGCCGATATGAACGTTCACACAGGTCTTGTGCACAACTTCGAACATTCTCCAGTATCTTCTCCAGTGGCTAGCCTACCCGCGGATTCCGATCATCACGATCTTGAAATAAACAACACTCATCACACGTCTGAACCTTTTTCTGAGAAAGTTTGTCAACTTCAATCTTACCTTCTCCAACCAGAAAAAACACTCTGCGAAGAAACCGAAACGTCACTTGATCAGCAGCCCGATAGGCTTGATCGCGAACATTCACATCCTGGAGAAAAGCAATATAAATGTAAGTATTGCGATACATCTGTTTCTACTCCGTCTTGCCTAATTCCTCATGAATGTACACATCCGGAAGAGAAATCGTTCAAGTGTACAGTGTGTGACAAAATGTTCACTACGCAACATAATCTTACCCGACATGCACGACTTCACTCAGTAGGCAAAGCGTTTCTGTGCAAGTACTGCGCAAAGCCATTCGGTGACAAATACGGCCTACATGTTCATGAACGTATCCATACCGGGGAGAAGCCGTTCAGGTGTGGTTACTGTGATCAAATGTTTCGCCGTAATACCGATCTTAGAAATCATGTACGTAGCCATACTGGAAAGAGACCATATAGTTGTAAATCGTGCGAGAAGTCATTCAAGACGCAATCACATCTCACCGTGCATCAACGCATCCATACTGGAGAGCGACCACACAAGTGTAACTTGTGTGACAAGTCATTCACGACGAAATCAAATCTCACAGTGCATCAACGCATCCATACTGGAGAGAGACCATACAAGTGTAAAGTATGTGGCAAAGACTTCCGAGCAATGTCAACTCTCGCAAATCATCAACGAATCCACACTCCTGAGAGAACCTGATCAAGTGTCAGCTATGGTGACAAGTCTTTCAATGTGAAAAACAACATGGAAGACCATGCAAATACAAACACCGTAAAAGAGAAAGATTATTTTCAAAATTGTTGAAAGTGCTACTCATAGGCCCGTTTCCAACCGCAAGTCGAATAAAATCAATGTCCTTTAAAGCCCGATCCGTTATCCATGCAAAGGTCTTACTTACATGCTAACTTCAACATAATTATGTAACGTGCAAACCATTATCATTGCCATTATACTCCAAGTGATATCCACTATTTCATTCCTTGTTTTCCATTGCACTTCTTACAGAAAAGGAACGTGTTTCCATTCATACCCTGCCACTCAATTGCGCTAAACGTTACTGTATGTTTTTTTGGATACATCAGTCATGCTATATAGCCGAAACCTACTGCTGGAGCACGCATGACTGGTACAGATCCTTTCGTTCGAAGAGGTACTCTACTGTTTGCATGTTCGGACATGATGCTAAAATCTTATTCATGTATGTACTCTTGGTTCCATGTGTCATCCTGTATAGTAACGATCTACTTCTTATCAAAACTATTCGAATACTATCTCACTGTCCATTTGTTTGCTGAAAATGTGTAAACGGGAAATTTGACTGTCACTACCAGAACTCAAACTTGGGACCCATTCATATGGCCAGCGATGCTCCCTCTTGATAGCTGAGAACGTAAAACATATCTTACTCCACTGCATCAGACCAGTGTGAGGTTGACAGATTGACTACCAGAGTCACAGTTAGGATGCACCGCCAGTGCTGGATGTGCCAAATGCCAAATACAATGGAGAAGATGGTATTTGTGATGCTTATCATAGCGGGACAAAGCCAGGTCGTCGCAACTCAGGGTTTCTCGCTCTAGAATGAGTTTCATGATCATTAGTTTCCAAATTATGGTAACCTATAATGGGCATTATCACTCTCTTAGTATTGACTCCCATTGATTTTCGCTATACCTAAGCAGTCAAATATTCCTGCATATTTCACTCCTTAGAGCTATTTTGACTGCTTATACTTGACTGCTTAGGGGTTGCGCAGTGGAACGGTGCCTAGTGCAGCATTGTCACTGCATGAGTAAATGGTGGTGCAACGGTTGTGCAATCATAAAACCGGGATTCATGAGGTTATCATTCTGAAATTTGAAGTACGGACTGTTTGTCGTGATAAATCTAATATTGACTTCGTAGTTGGTCAGTATAGGAAATAAAAGCCTTGTAAAAGACCTCGGCTTCGCATCGGTCGTTTACTCGCCTTTTATTTCCTCTATTGACCTCGTACTCAGTCAATATTAGATACGTACAATAAACTTGTGGCAAGGAACTAGATTTTTTCCATTGCTAAACTTGGAATAAATGTAAGCTATTACGACACAAGAAATACAGGATATGGTATATTTTCCACGAGGAGCTGACCATTCCTTCTGTATGATTGGGTGCATTTCATTCCCTGCGAGGACACTGTTATTGACTATAATTGGACTCATAGCTGTGCGATAGGAATACATTTCGTTACTTTAACTGCAATGTAAGGTTAAAGAGAATCTCTTCAACAGTCCTTAAAATTGATTCGGTGAGACACATTCCTGACTGGCATTTCCAAGACCATTGCTCACAGATCTAGGGCTGCACAACACGCAGATCCTACTTCAGTGACTGGATCGTCTACACAGAGTCATAGTGCCTACTCCTCCACACCTTTCAGTGCACTGAAGTGTCACTGAAGCCGGGACAGAACAAGAACGCATCCATATTATGTCTTTTCAGTGTGCGGAATGTTCGAAATCTTTGGCCAAGCACTCCAACCTAATAGTCCTAGAAAGAATCCATCCCTTAGAGAAACTGATCAGGTGACAGCGCCGGTGACAAATCCATCAAATCGAAAACAGAATTTGAAGACCATGCAAATACTAACAGCCAAAGGTTTGTTTTTCCAGATGCTTAATTTAGGTCTCCATGCAAATTTCACTGCTTACATGCTGACGTCAACACATGTAAAATCAATAACATTATCATTGTATTGCAGTTGATATCTACAGTTTAATTTTATGTTTTCCATTGCAGTTCTTACACAAAAGGAATGTATTTCCAAATTAACAAGAAGAAACAATTATATTGCGCGGAACGTCTTTCTTTCAAATGTCGCTCATATTCTAGAAGATACACTGTGCGGCTTGGGAGTTCACACATGATTCAAAATAATGTGAGTTCCTTTGTTTCTGTATGTAACTTTGATCCCATATGTGGTATTGTACAGTCCCGTTCTAGTCCATGTTAAATAACCCAAAATTTCTAATAATAAGATAATTATTATGATGAAGAAAGGAAAAGGACAAATGTTACGAGTTATGACAAACTGTCCACCAACTTAACCAGATCTTTCTTATACAGTCAGCGAGTGCGACAAAATGGTACAAAACTGACAAGGAGTACCGAGACATTTGTGTCATAATAATTATTATGTAAGCACATTTGCTTTGCCCCTACAAGAGGCTTGTTCACTGAGACATTCCGGGTCCTGACACCTAGCTCCAATACTTCTCCAAGGTGCAAACCAACACCCTTCCAACTTGGAAAGCTCAGGTTCGGAAAGGTCCACGAGGGGAAGGACAGTGTTTATTACATAAACTTGAGCCGCCAAAGTTGGGTGGCCTGTTGCTTTGCGTCGTCGAGTTGTAGTGAAGCCGGTCCGTCCATTAGTCTTACTAGTTTCGTCATCATCCAGTAACTTTCGGCATTCTTAGTTGCCGTGACACGTAGCTCGTGCTCTTCTTCGTTGCGCTTTCCTTCCCCTCTTGGAACTTTCCGAACCTGAGCCTTCCAAGTTGGAAGGTTGTTGGTTTGCACGTTGGAGAAGTGTTGGAGCTAGGTGTCAGGTCGCCGAATGTCTCAGTACTCCTTGTCAGTTTTGTGCCATTTTGTCGCACTCGCTGCCTGTATAAGATCTGGTTACGTTGGTGGACAGTGTGTCATAACTCGTAACATTTTGTCCTTTTCCTTTTCTTCATCATAACTATATTGGCTCACCATCCGAGTTCAAATAAAATAATTATTGCCTTTGATCCTTCAAAGGTGGTGGCGTTCCTACGGATGCGAAAAAGAACCGTGAACTTTTTCTATTGCCTTTGTGCTCCGTCCATTCAACACCACAAACAAAAACAGAGCTGCATAGCCAGTGAAGTCTAGTCTAGACACTAATGCTGTTCTATGACGTAAGGGGTGTAGGGCCACCAACTACACTTTCACAACTCTACATCTCATCGTATCACATCTCTTCACACCTCATCTCTTCATACTACATCTCTTCACACTTCATCTCTTCACACCTCATCTCTTCATACCTCATCTGTTCATACCCCATCTCTTCATGCCTCATGTCTTCACACCTCATATATTAATGCCTGATCTCCCCACATACTTGTCCCTAGTCGGCCTAGACTCACACCATCGCCTCATCACATCCCTTTCCTCATCGGCATGACATAATTATATGTTTCAAATTGTGTGATTCCAAAATCAGAATTGGGTGTGAAGACTACATAAGAGAGATGGGTGTGGGTTGGGTTTTTGTATTTTAGAAAAGCGATCCTGTCAGCTTTTCTATTATCCTTTGTATGTGATGGAGTGTATGCGCGTGATTTCACAAGATGTTAATAATTATTGTGAAAAGTATAATTTCAGTGCCAGAAATAGATGTGAACTGTGTTGATGTGCAGATTTTGCGCATTGTTCTTCCAATTACTAAAGAGAAACACCAGCTGTTTACTAATTACAAAACTATTGAATACAACTAGGGAGTGTTGTCTTCCTATTTGAACTGACTTCTTGTTACTTCCAAGCATTTTATTTGTTGTTTTGATTAGGAAACCTTGCAGTGCTGGAAGAAGAATTACGGTTGTGAGAATTGTTCGAAGTTGGTAAATCATGAACGACTGTGACTGGACTTCGGAGGAGAGTGACGACTCTGATGCACTCTCACCACTGCAGCCATTAGTGATATGGTCAAGCAGAAGGTCAACCGCGTGTCCTCCACCGCCAACTGCTCCATCTTATAATACACCGTACTCAGCTCTTCACCACGTATACCCCAATAGTGGTAATCAAGTAGCCACATCAGAATTCTCAACTTCCCAGTTTTCTCCTCAGAATACCGCATTCAACCCCTGGAAATCACGAACATCTTGCGCCGGTGTTCCTCAAGATCATGTACCCAAGGACATGGTGACAGATAACTTCAGGGACCCTCGACCAGAAATCCAGAGGAACAAGGATACAAAGACCAGTGATGCTTCAACCAGAGCTGTCGAAAACCTATGTTGGGATTCCTTGACATCAGCAATGGACAAGGATCAAATTTCGCAAGGTAACAGTACCCCAACCGTTAACTGCTATCCCGAAGCCGTTTCAGATCAGTACACAGGCTACGAGGAAGTAGCGTTTCACATTGAATATGGCAAGAACTACAGCAAATCTGCTGGTATGAACGTTCACGCAGTGCATGTACAAAACGTCAGACATTTTCCAGTATCTTCTGCAGTGGCTAGCCTACACGCGGATTCCGACCATCACGATCTTGAAATAAACAACACTCATCACACGTCTGAACCTTTTTCTGGGAAAGGTTGTCAACTTCAATCTGACTTTCCCGAACCAGAAGATACACTCTGCGGAGAAACCGGGAAGTCCCTTGATCACCAGCGCGATAGGCTTGATCGCGAACATTCACATCTTGGAGAAAAGCAATATAGATGTAAGCATTGCGATAAATCTGTTTCTACTCCGTCTTGCCTAAGTTCTCATCAATGTACACATCCAGAAGAGAAATCGTTAAAGTGTAAAGAGTGTGACAAAATGTTCACCACGCAACAAAATCTTACCCGTCATGCACGACTTCACTCAGTAGGCAAAGCGTTTCCGTGCAAGTACTGCGCAAAGCTATTCGGTGACAAATACGGCCTACATGTTCATGAACGTGTCCATACCGGGGAGAAGCCGTTCAGGTGTGGTTACTGTGATCAAATGTTTCGCCGTAATACCCATCTTAGAGTTCATGAACGTAGCCATACTGGAGAGAGACCATATAAGTGTAAATCGTGCGATACGTCATTCACGGCGAAATCAAATCTCACGGTGCATCAGCGCATCCATACTGGAGAGAGACCATACAAGTGTAAATCATGCGAAAAGTCATTCACGAAGAAATCAGATCTCACCCGGCATCGACGCATCCATACTGGTGAGAGACCATACAAGTGTAAATCGTGCGAGAAGTCATTCACGACGAAATCATATCTCACCCGGCATCGACGCATCCATACTGGAGAGAAACCATACAAGTGCAACTTGTGTAACAAGTCATTCAAGACGAAATCCACTCTCACCGTGCATCAACACATCCATACTGGAGAGAAACCATACCAGTGTAAAAAATGTGGCATGGCATTTCGGGAAATGTCAACGCTCAAATATCATCAACGAATCCATACTTGAGAGTAACCATTTTCGTGTAAGGACTGTGGAAAGTCTTTCACTAAGAAATCCAGCCTAACACGTCATGAGTGGATCCATCCCTGAGAGAACCTGATCATGTACAAGCGATTGTGACGAGATTTCAATGCGAAAAGAAACATGGAAGACCATGGAAATACAAAACACAGAAAACAGCAGTATCGTTTCAAGATTATGGGAAATGCTTTTAACCTATCAAAGAGCGTTTAAAACATTATTCCTTGTTTATGCTTCAAACGCTTCAAACTCTCTAACTCGTTTTCTTATAGGCATTTTTTGGTAACTGTTCAGTTTTAGTTATTGCTCTGCGTGCACCGTCTTATCCTGAATTATCTGCAAACACTTGTACTATGATTCTGTTTGCGCTTTCATGTATCGTTCAACGTAATACATATTTGTTGAAATATACAATTTTTCCTAGTACTTTCCTGTTGTCGTCTTCTTTTTTCTTGCATTATCGTTGTCAACCAAACACGCTCGGTGGTGTGCTAGTAATTTCCTTCTGGTCATATTCATTCAGTCAATGGGTTAGGAGAATGTACAGAATGGAGTTGGACGTCTGTAGAATTGCGACCTATGCTAAGCGCTGAAATCTTCGTAGTGCGTTCAATCGGTTTCGTAAACTGTACTTTTTATTATTTTAATTTTTTATGAAACTCGGATGTTGAGCCATAAATAAATGTAGAAGAGAAAAGGACATATGGATACGAGTTAAGAGTAACTCTCCATCACTGTAACATGATACTTTATACAGTCAGAAAGTGCAATAACTAGGCACAAAACTGACAGAGTACTGAAACATTCGACGTCCTGACACCTAGCTTCAACACATCTCCGTAGCGCTAACCGACAGCCTTCCAACTTGGAAGGTTCAAGGTTATGGAAAGACCAAAGAGGGGAAGGCAAGCGCAACGAAAACTCTTTCTTTACTTATCTTTGATATTTATGACCCACCCAAGTTGGGTGGTGTGCTGCTTTGCTGCTTCGAATTGTAGTTAGACCGCTTTGTCAAATATCGTACTGGTCTCGTCATCGTCCAGTAACAATCGACATTCTTTGTTCCGTTGGGACTGTAGCTTTTGCTCGTTTTCGTTGCGCTTGCCTTCCCCTCTTTGGTCTTTCCATAACCTTGAACCTTCCAAGTTGGAAGGCTGTCGGTTAGCGCTACGGAGATGTGTTGAAGCTAGGTGTCAGGACGTCGAATGTTTCAGTACTCTGTCAGTTTTGTGCCTAGTTATTGCACTTTCTGACTGTATAAAGTATCATGTTACAGTGATGGAGAGTTACTCTTAACTCGTATCCATATGTCCTTTTCTCTTCTACATTAATTTTTTATTATAATATTATCGCGATAATTGATGGAATATATGGTAGTTTAGTAGGTGTGTTGAGGTGATGTTTTGACCTGACATGCGAGCCGATAATTCTTAGATGTGTTCATTTCTTGCTCTACTTTCGTTGTGTTTGCATGTGTGTGTGCGCTTGTCCGTTTGTGTGTATGATTTTCGCTGTGAATGTCGGTTTATTGTTCCATTGTAGCCGGATACTATGACGTCTTTCAAAGTAGAGCTGCTGTTAGCTCATCGTAGAGCTGCAATGCTAAAGGATGTAATATAGCTCAAGGCAGAGCTGCAGAAAATGGCCAGATAACACCAGTTGTGAGAGTGTTAGCTCAAAGTAGAGATGCTAATAGCTAAACGTAGAGCTGCTGTAAGCTCAAAGTAGAGCTGCTGTTAGCTCAAATTAGAGCTGCTGTTAGCTCAAAGTAGAGCTGCTGTTAGCTCATCGTAGAGCTGTAATGCTAATGGATGTAATATAGCTCGAGGCAGAGCCGCAGAAAAGGCCAGATAACACCAGTTGTGAGTGTGTTTGGTCAAACTAGAGATGCTAATAGCTAAACGTAGAGCTGCTGTAAGCTCAAATTAGGGCTTCTGTTAGCTCAAAGTAGAGCTGCTGTTAGCTCGTCGTAGAGCTGCAATGCTAATGGATGTAATATAGCTCAAGGCAGAGCCGCAGGAAATGGCCAGATTACACCAGTTGTGAGAGTGTTTGCTCAAAGTAGAGATGCTAATAGCTAAACGTAGAGCTGCAGTAAGCTCAAATTAGAGCTGCTGGTAGCTCAAAGTAGAGCTGCCGTTAGCTCGTCGTAGAACTGCAATGCTAATGGATGTAATATAGCTCAAGGCAGAGCCGCGGGAAATGGCTAGATAACACCAGTTGTGAAAGTGGACCCAATCAGTTCCTACCATTATTATCATGATGGTCTGAATACGTTGGATAGGAGGGATGGGGGGAAAAGAAACACTGCAGAAGCACGATCTGTTGTCTGGAAGAACACAACAGGGCAAGCAAGATTTGTTTTTTTTCATCAAAACGAGTTTGGTGCCATAATTTTGTGATTATGCAGCAAAACATAGCGCATGACGTCATTCTTGAAGGCTGTATAGAGCCATGCAGTGCAGCTAGTGAGCTAGTTCGGACGAGTACTAGCACAGCTAGCACCCCAAATTTGGTGTCGATGGGATCTTTCAAAGAAGATACTGTGTCCTAACTGCCCTTTCTGACAAATGGAGAGGTGAATCCATTGTTATATTATGTTTTGCGCTAACCAGGCTTTAATGGTGTTGGGGCGGCGGTTCAATCCTGTGACCTGTGACAATCGCTTATGCCCAGAGATGCTCTACAGCTAAGCACTCTACCACTAGTGGTCATCCGATCAGTGACCGTTCAATATTATCCGCAGATGTAGAAACTCACGCCTCCTGTGAATCCACACAAGCTCGTGGGATGCAAGGAGCGTACAAGACGTTTTCTGTTTTAATGGTGCTGTTTGTACATAGCGCGGAACTCACGATATTCATTTCGCTTATATCTTTCTTAACACTTAGATCCACCGACATGGTCAACAGTTTTACCGTGACGAGTTAGCAAGAGCACCACATCTATGTTTAGAACAGGGCGTACTTTAATCGATTGTGTAACATATGCCTGGTACTACATAGACCATATCACAGGAGACCATGTAAACCATGAATCTATTCATAGCAGACACTTTGTGTTCTTCGATTCTAACAACAAAGTGTCTCAGATTGCATCACCTCTTGTCACGTGTTGCAGACTCCACACGAAGCGTTTAGGTGAAGAAAAATATGGATATAGCGATAGTGTGTGTGTGTGTGTGTTTGTGTGTGTGTGCATGTGTGTGTTTCCGGGCGTGAGCGCATGATGTGAAAATATCATGATGTGTCACTTTTAAAAATGTAAGGATGGACTCGGATGAAGAAGCAAGGATTAATTTATAGAAAAGAAAAAAGACCAAGGAAGTACTAGTAACGCTATAACGTCGGTAAACGTCGGTAAACGTCGGTAAACGTCGGTCAACGTCGGTAAACGTCGATCAACGTCTGTCAACGTCGGTAAATGTCGTGCAAATTTATCGCATGAGCTGATTGTTAAGACATTGGTCGTGTTAGTGATAATTATAGAGCAGCTCGTTAATGTATTGGCCTAGAAATAGGCATCAACGTGACAAATTATCTCAAAGTGTTCATGTACATATTCGGGACACACAGTTGCTACTGATTACAATACTAACCTCCTAGTATGAGTTGTTTCTGCTCTATGGATAATTGGTATTGAATTCGGATACTTTGCCCTACATGGCAAGAGAATTGAGTTTGGAAGAATTGTTGAAGTAAGTGGATCATGGATGATTTTGACTGGGTTTCGGAGGGGAGTGCCGACTCTGATGCACTCTCACCACTTCCACCATTGGTTATATGGACCAGCAGAAGGTCAACTGGGTATCCCCCACAGCGAAATATACCATTTTACGGTACGATTTACACGGCTCATCACCACGCACACCCCAATAGCGGTAACCCAGAGACGACCTCAGAAGGCTCCTTTGCGAAATATGCACTTCAGCATTCCTCATTCACCACTTCGAACACACCAACATCTACATCCAGAGTGCTCCAAGATCATCCTTGGCTGGACACTGCAGCAGACAACTTCAGGCCACCTCGACCAGAGTTCCAGAGGAACAAGGATACACACGCTAATGATCCTTCAACAGCAACTGACGATACCCCATGCTCTAATCCCTTGACATCAGCAATGGACAATGGCCAAAGATCGCAAAGCAACCGTAACCAAACTGCTAACCATCCCGTTTCTGTTTCAGATCACTACACAGGCCACGCACACGTTGGGTATGAGTCGGAAGATGGCGAATGCTCAGGCAAATCTGCCGGCCTGGACGTTCACAATATCGAACATGTTCCAGTGGATCTTAGGATGTCTATCTTATCGCACAACAATCAGCATGTGTCCGAGTCTAGTTCTGAGGCAGATTTTCAACTTCAAGCTGACTTCCCTCAACCCGAACCTTCGCTTTACAAGGAAACTGGGCCATCGCTTGAACGCCAGCATGATATGCTTGATGGCAGACATTCACGTCCCGTAGAAAAGCCGTATGAATGTAAGTTTTGCGATAAATCATTTTCTACTCAATCCAGTCTAACATCTCATGAACGTACGCACCGAGAAGAGAAACCTTTCAAGTGTAAAGTGTGCGATAAAGTCTTCGATTGGCGATCTCTTCTTGTCCGCCATGTTCGAGTTCACTCAGGAGACAAACCCTTCACGTGCAAGTTCTGCGCTAAATCATTCAGTGATAAATCCAATCACACTACTCATGAACGGTACCATACCGGGGAGAAGCGGTTTACCTGTGATCACTGTGATTTTCAAGGTTTTCACTCCCGTTCCCAACTTAGAATTCATGTACGCATCCACACTGGGGAGGGACCATACAAGTGTAAAGAATGTAACAAAGCATTCAGACAACCTTCACATCTCACAGATCATCAACGCGTCCATACAGGAGAGAAACCTTTCAAATGTAACGTTTGTGAGGAGGCGTTCAGAACTGCATCAAATCTCGCAGGTCATCAACGCATCCATACTGGAGAGAAACCGTTCAAGTGTAAAAAATGGAAAAGTCTTTCTCTCGGAAATCTAACCTAACAGTACATGAAGGAATCCACCTCTGAGAGAAGCAATAAAAGTCTGTCAATGATAAAAAAACACTTTGAAGACTATCAAAATGTTAACAAAAGGCTTCTTTTCCAAATTATGGAAAATGTTCATTATACATGACTGAGCCCCAGCCAGCAGAAACCTGAAAATGTGTAATTTTTTCAAAAATTATTTTTTCCCTCGAAATTGTTTCTACACTATTAATCATCCAAGTTATCAAGTTTGGTGACAATCTGATAAGCGAAAGCATGGAAAATAGAGTTTGGAGTCACACAGGTCAAGATTCAGTACAGTTGGCGCAGCATCCATGCCTAGTGACTCCATGCAAGTTGATCCTACGGTTTCTGATTGTGATGTGGAACAGGTACATGTAAGTAAATAGAATGCAAGTCAGGCTTGCCCTCTTGGTGCTGCAGGCATGAGTAGTTCAGAAGTGTGACGATATTCCGTATACATCACTACCTTCCTTACAACACCAGAGTGCAAAACGATGATTGGTGGCTGGCCTTCCAAATTGTGTTCAGGGACGTCTGTGCTGGCAGTTTGAGCGTTGTCTGAAAGCTTGCCATACTGATAGATGTACTGACCAATACCACTGACATCCACTCCCTTGCACACTTTCACTCACACCATGATTTCAGCATAATTGTATTTCAATGATATGAGCGAATACTCGCGTTCTGTAGCACGTGAAGATGTTGCCCCAAAGCGTTCAGCTGGTTTGAGTTTTTAGGGATCCCCTTTCTCAGCACAGGCAGCAGCCAGCTTGGCATCGTTTGGCAAGGTAGAGTACTGATAATACTACGCTTGCAGTCTCTGTTTTGCACCGTGAGAAGCCCTCCATCAGCGTCTGCAACATCATTGTTGTCGATGTAGAAATACGGATCGCTCAGCGGGTCGACATTCAGCTTCTCCTTGCAGTCGCTATTACTCCAGCACTGACTGTCGTCGCCACCAGTATCCAGTGTCGATTTTATGAGGGCTCTTCGTTGCTATGCATATTAGACTCGCCACTGCTGGACAAACTCAGCGAGATCGCCACCAAAGAAATAATTACGATCGCGAACTAACTTTCAGCGCCGCTTTGTACAGGGAGTCTCACGCTGACAACTCTGGACCTAAGTCTTTGTTGCGACACCTGTCGCCATCGCTGTGTCTAAACTCAACCTCCGTGTGACGAGCTCTCACCTAGCGCTAAAATCAATTGACCAGAGACATTTGAAGACACTTGAAACTCCTTTGACAACAAAGACACTCACTCGATCGAAAAAGAATCTTCAAAAGCCAGCTCACTGCGCGTCCCAAACTTTGACGTCACATATAGATGATTGATTTCAAGTACACAAGTGCTGGTTTTCGCTGGCCGGGGCTCAATATTGTACTTGTAGGCCCTTTCTGAAATGCAAGTAGCCAAATCTGAACGCCACGTAAAGGCCACTGCTTACATGCTGACTTCCATATTTGTAGCATCACAATAAATTTCATTATCATTGTTTTAGAGTTGATATATTGTACAGTTCCTATCCATATTACTCAATGCACTTCGTACACGTATTTCTATATCTACCATTCACAAAAAAAACAGTTGAGCTGATCATGTGGCTCGTGGTTTATAAAATCTGTATTTTTCGCGCATCTTTACTCTTCTGCACGCATGCTGGGTATGGATCCTTTCCCTAGAAGAGACGCTGTGCGGTTTTGAAGTAGGCACATGATGCTAAATATGTGAGATGTCTACCTCTGGTCTCATTTGTATAGACCCGTTCAAGTCCCCGTCAAAACATTTAATTTCTTCTAATAAAAAGATTACCTCAATGTTCATTTGCTGGAGGGAAATGTGGAAAGGGGTAAATGACTGTGACCACCAGGACTCCAACCTGATACAATCGATTATGGCTAGCGATGCTCTACCACTAAGCACTCTACCAATACTAGTCATCCAAGCAGCGACTGCTCAACATTTTCCTCAGACTTACATGTAGCAACTCTCGCTTCCTATGAATGCACAAAGTCCAGTGGGGTTCAAGGAACGTACATGACGTTTAGGATTCAAATGTGGTGTTTTTACATCGTGCGAAACTCAGGATATTCATGATAAAAATGCACGACCACGAAGGTTGACACTTCGTTCAGTGGCTTGCCAACTTTGGTTACGTAATCTTGTTGCCTTTTTGCGTTTCCTCTAGTGTTTAATTGCACTTCTATCATGATTTTATGTGGCTTTCTAACACCTCATTCCGGATATATCAGATTCTTTCTTAAAATATAGCTCTACCGAAATTTTCAACAGTAATGACGTGTGGAGTAAGCAAGAGGACCATACCAATGCTTATAACTGGGCAGAGTGTAATAGACCATGTAACGTATACCCGGCACTACCTCAAAGGTCAAAAAGAATGGTTCCACCAATTCTATATTATACATACGTTGTAACGCTGCGTTTCACGCACTTAGCTAAATGCGAAGGCAATCATCAGACAACTAATGCTATTGTCGCGGGATAGCTTGATTTAATTGTGGGGGATACGCATGGGCATGTGTGAGTTATCAATGCAGGGCATGCATGGAAGAGGGAGTGATAAGAAATATATCACTGGATGGGCATGCGAAGTAGGCGCGAACTATGCATGGAGAGTGCAGAGGCGGAGAAACCATTTGGCAGGGCAAGGGTAAGCCATGGGGGCACTGGGCAGGGGGTGTGATGTGTGGCGGTGGAAGCGCACTGTGGTGTCCACATTCAACAGCCGCGGGTATTCAGAGGATTTGGCGGTGATAATGGTAGCACGCGGTGGCTATGTCACGGCAGAGTAGGTGGAGAGGTAGAACTTGTTTTGGTGTCTGCACTTTGATACCAACTCTGACCTCTTTTTGAGCAGACTGTGAGGCGTGTTGAAGGTGATGATGCGCAACTTTTCTTATAAACACAAGCAGCACCTTTTGGATATGTTGCTGTAGGACTTGGCCCGATCAATGACTGCCCGTTTGATTTTGTATTCCTCACCTTGGTCAACCAGCGCCCATGTGTGCTTGGATAGCTTGGTCTTGGTACGGTACTTTTCATGCCGCATGCTGGTTAGGTGGTTGCCATAGCTCACCTTGAAGTGCGTCTCGCCCAGGCCGATGTATTGCCTTTCCTCGCCGGTACTTGGGGTTGTGACGGAAGCCTGGTACACCGCTTCCCCCTCCAAGCATCCGCCGCCCAAAGGGCATGATGGCTTGGCTTCGGCAGTTGCACCCTGCCGCAGATCTCTCTTCACAAAGCGTTAGTACCTTTTGGTTATGTCCCTTCATCAGGTAGGACATGTTGGGCATGCAGGAGTAGCTCAACTTCAATGTCTTTCTGTCTAAGATCTTGTGTAGTGGCGACGTGGCAGGGAAATCCGCTGGCAGATACTGCGCTATCATAGCACAGCCCTGTATGCTTGTGCCGCGTTGGTGAATGCCTCCTCGTCGCACGAGATGTCGGACACCCGCCTATTGATCATTGCAGGTAGATTCCGGAGTGTATTGGGTGGGTGATTCGACTTGGTGTGTATGTTGCTGGGTGCGTCATTCAGTTTGCGGTATGGGTAGTAGCGGCCGCTGGCTAGATCAAAGGTGCCGTCGAGGAAGTCCACTGTCCTCTGGTTGGTACTGACGGTTACTCGTAGGTCAACGTCTTTGAATAGCTTCGTGATTGCCTTGCGGATGGAGTCTCCCTCGTGTCCTGTAGTAGTCCTGAGCACTGCCAGTCCCGGCGCTACCTCTTTTATCATTTATCATAAGAGCCGATATAAACCATGCATCTACTCTTAGCAGATACTTTGTTGTAATATTCTAACAGCAAAGTGTCTTTGATTGCATAACCTCTTGTCAGGTGCTGCAGAGTCAGGATGAAGCTTGAGTCATCCCATGTCTCGCGCTAAGGTGAAGAGAAATATGGAAATAAAGAGACTGTTTTAAAAGTGTGTTTGTGTGGGGGGGGGTGGGGGTTGTGTGTGTGAGTATGTATGTGTTTGTTTCCGCGCGAGAGCTCTTGATGTCGAACGATCAAATGTGTCAGTTAAATGTAAGAGCCTAGAAATAGACATCAACCTAAAATCGTGACAAATTATCAAAGTATTCATGTACTTATTCGGGAAACACAGCTGCTACTGATAACAATACTTACGTTCTAGGACGAGTTGTTCCAGTTCTTTGGATTATTGGTATTGAATTCCGATACTTTGCCCTGTACGGCAGGAGAACTGGGATTGGAAGAATTACTCAGTGAATCATGGATGATTGTTGCAGGACTTCGGAGGGGAGTGTCGACTCTGATGCAATCTCACCACTGCCACCATTAGTGATATGGACCAGCAGAAGGTCAACTGCGTGTCCTCCAACGCCAAATCTACCATATTATGGCTCATGCTATGGAGCTCATCACCACGCCAACGCTGAAAGCGGTAATCCAGAGACGACCTCAGAAGGCTCTTTTGCGAATTATGGACTTCAGCATTCCTCATTCACCTCTTGGAACACAATAATATCTACCTCCTGTGTTCTTCAAGATCATCCTTGGCTGGACATTGCAGCAGACAAACTCAGGCACCCGAGACCAGAGTTCCAGAGAAACAAAGATACACGGGCTAATGAGCCTTCAACAGCAACTGACGATAATCCATGCTCTAATGCCATGACATCAGCAATGGACAATGGCCAAAGATCGCAAGACAACAGTAACCAAACTGCTAACCATCCCGTTTCTTTTTCAGATCACTACACAGGCCGCGCACACGTTGGGTATAAGTCGGAAGATGGCGATTACTCAGGCCAATCTGCCGACCTGGACGTTCACAAAATCGAACATGTTCCAGTGGATCTTAGGATGTCTAGCTTATCACACAACACTCAGCATATCTCAGAGTCTAGGTCTGAGGAAGATATTCAACTTCAAGCTGACTTTCCTCAGCCCGAAACTTCGCTTTGCAAGGAAACTGGGCCATCGCTTGATCGCCAGAATGATATGCTTGATCGCAGACATTCACCTCCCGTAGAAAAGCCGCATAAATGTAAGTTTTGCGAAAAATCATTTTCTACTCGATCCAGTCTAACATCTCATGAACGTACGCACCGAGAAGGGAAACCTTTCAAGTGTAGAGTGTGCGATAAAATCTTCGATTGGTGATCTCATCTTGTCCGTCATGTTCGAGTTCACTCAGGAGACAAACCTTTCACGTGCAAGTTCTGCGCTAAATCATTCAGTGATAAATCCAATCATACTGCTCATGAACGGTACCATACCGGGGAGAAGCGGTTTAGCTGTGATCACTGTGATCAAGGTTTTCACTCCCGTTCCCAACTTAGAATTCATGTACGCATCCACACTGGACACAGACCATACAAGTGTAAACAATGTGGCAAAGAATTCACAAAACGATCAAATCTCGCAGGTCATCAACGCGTCCATACTGGAGAGAAACCTTTCAAGTGTAACGATTGTCACGAACGGTTCAGAACTAAATCAAATCTTGCACGTCATCAACGTATCCATACTGGAGAGAAACCGTTCAAGTGTAAAATATGTGGCACGGGTTTCTCTCGGAAATTCAATCTAACAGTACATGAAAGAATCCACCTCTGAGTGGAACAATAAAAATCGGTCAATGGGAAAAAACCCACTTGGAAGACTATGAAAATGTAAACATTAAACCAAAGGCTTCTTTCTTTCCAGGTTATGGAAAATGTTCATTATACATAGAAGCCCTTTTTGAAATGCAAGTAGCCAAATCTGAACGCCACGCAAAGGCCACTGCTTACATGCTGACTTCCATATTTGTAGCATCACAATAATTTTCATTATCATTGTTTTAGAGTTGATCTATTGTACAGTTCCTATCCATGTTACTCAATTCACTTCCCCGATCACGTTTTTCTATATATACCATTCGCAAAAAAAACTCAGTTGCGCTTAACATGTGGCTCATGTTCTATAAAATCTGTACTTTTTCGCGCATCTTTACTCATCTGCACGCATGCCGGGTATAGATATTTTCCTCAGAAAGCACGCTGTGCTGTTTTGAAGTAGGCACATGATGCTAAATATGTGAGATAGTTTATTCCTGTATGTAGATGTCTACCTCTGGTCCAATTTGTATAGACCCGTTCAAGTCCCCGTCAAAACATTTAAAATCCAACCTGATACAATCGATTATGCTCATCCATACTCTACCACTAATCACTCTACCACTACCAGTCATCCAAGCAGCGACTGCTCAACATTTTCCTCAGACTTAGAAACTCTCACTTCCTGTGAATCCATCAAATCTAGTGGGATGCAAGGAACGTACATGACGTTTAGGGTTTAAATGTGGTGTTTTTACATCGTTCGGCACTCAGGATATTCATGATACAAATGCACGACGACGAAGGTTGACCCTTCGTTCAGTGGCTTCTCAACTTTGGTTACGTAATCTTGTTACAAGTACCTTTTGCATTTCCTTTTGTGGTTGTATTGCACCTGTACCATAATATAATGTGGCATTTCTAACGCCTCAGGATATGCATTCCGCTTACATCAGATTCTTTCTTAAAATTTAGCTCCACTGAAATTGTCAACAGTTATACCGTGTCGAGGTAGCAAGAGGACCACGCCAATGCTTAGAACTGGGCATAGGGTAATGGATCATGCAACATAATTATAATCAGCACTGCCTATAATATACTCATAAAAAGGACACACTTCAGGCTCATTACCAACATCTTGAAAGTTTTTGTCCTCACAGGTTTACCATCAAGCCTTCTCGTCAGATGAAATACAGGCAAGGGAAAGGAACAGGAACAGTGGATTAAATACAGTAAGAATGTGGTAACACAGCGCAAAAAAGAAGATAGCTAAAGTAAACAGCGAAAATTGCAATAATGACCCAAAGATGCAAGTGCGAGAAAACTCAATAAGCGTGACATGTAGTGCGACAACAAGAGACAACCACTGGACATACATGTAACTAACGAGGTTTTGACGGCCTACCTAACAGCCTAAGTATTTCGCCTCACGAGAAGTCTTGAAAGTATACTTGTGAAGACAAAAACTTTCAAGGTGTTTGTAATGATCATGAAGTGTGTCCTTTTTATGAGGATTATCGCATTTGTGTCTCAGAGGAAACTGTTTACCTATATTATCATTTATCACAGGAGACGATAATAAACCATGCATCTATTCATAGCAGACACTTTGTTGTAATATTCTAACAGCAAAGTGTCTTTGATTGCATCACCTCTTGTCAGGTGTTGCAGAGTTTGCAAAAGTCCAACTGTGCGGTGCAGGTTTTTGCGCTCTGAGGCTCCCACAGTTTCTCGCCAGGAAACCGGCATCAGGCCGGCCTGGTTTCAAACATTAGGTATAGTAGTAGTAGTAGGAAACTAGGTAGACATCGGATAGCTTTGGCCCACCTCCGCCATGCCTCCAGCAAAAGCTGCCGTTCGCGGGCTGACGGATTCGGAGGTAAAATTGTTGTGCTCCCTCCCCGGGATCGAGTCTTCGATTTTAGACGTAGTAAAGACGCTGGCAACATTTGTGACGGAGTCCGCAGACCGCGAGACACGACTAAAGAATAGGATCGATGATTTATCGAGGCAAATTGCAGGCCTGAACGAGGAGGTTGTCGCCCTCAGGGAGTCCGCCATTGTCGCAGCAAGTGCTTCTCCCCTGACTCCTCCAGCAGTTGCCCACAACCAGCACAGCCAGCGTACGATGGAGAGTACAGCGGGAAGGACCAGCAAGCGTACCCGTACTCGCGCAGGCCAGGCTGCCACGTGTACCACTGATGCAGACGAACACCGTAGCACTTCTCGTAGCGTGGGTGACCCTGCCAGTGACCATGAAACGTCAACGGAGGATGAGGACAAGTCCCAGGCAATTGAGCGGCCCACTGTCAAGCCCAAGCCACTGAAGCTAGAGCCAATCACGGATGACACGTGGAAACTGGTATCAAACGAACCTCACAGAGTGAAGAAAGCCGTAATCTATGTGGGCAATTTGAACTCACATAGCAGTGAAGAAAGTGTCAAGGAATTCACTGAGCAACGCTCTGCAGCAGTTAACAAACCGGTGAAGGTTCACCAGTGCAGCATACACACCACAGAAGATGGGAAAGTGTCTGCCCGCTTGATGATCGATGCGACTGACCTTGAAATCGCCACTGCTCCAAACTTTTGGCCTCGCCCACTGTACGCGCGGGTTTGGCGCCACCGTGAGCGTCCGAAGGGGGACACCTTGTCCGGCTCACACAGTGACACTCTCAGTGATGCTCCAAAGGGGGACACCTTGTCCGGCTCACACAGTGACGCTCTCTCCGAGTCCTCCGACACTCAAGCTCAAAGCTCCAATTAGATCCTTTCGGATCCTGCTGACGAACACATTTGGACTACTGAGTAAACTTGGTGACTTTCACCATGCTGTACACGTTCACCAACCTGACATTGCCATTGTCACAGAGAGCAAGCTAACCCCTGAGAAGGCTACTGATTCCTAACTGTCCTTGCCTGGGTACTACTCCCCACTGCGGAAGGATCGAACAGCTCATGGAGGAGGAGTTGCGGTTTGGGTTAAAGCCAGTCTGGCCCTCCGATAACTCGATGACATCCAGGTCGGTAATGAGGAGCTAATATGGCTGAGTGTCAGAACTGTGGATAAGAAGTCAGTGGCTGTGTGTGCTGCATATCGCTCTGGCTCCTGCCACGACAATGACATCAGTACCCTTGAAGCCATCAGTGCTGGCATAAACCTGGCCCGTAAATCTTGTCAATATGTGGTATTGGCTGGAGATTTTAACGTACACAACGTGGATTGGCTCGGCAGCACCAAGACAACTCATGCAGGTGTGTACACTGAAGACATGTGTGCTTTTCACTGCTTGGAGCAGCACGTGCATGAGCCCACCAGGGGCCTTAACCCACTCGACTTAATAATGACTGACCTACCGGGAGATGCGACCGTCAATACCTTAGCACCTCTGGGAAACTCTGACCATGCCTGTGTCCTAGCTGACTTTCATGTAAGCACAGCAGAGGAACCACCAGTGACCAGAACTGTCTGGCGTTACCAACGCCCAGACTGGGACAGACTCCGCCACTTCTTTAGAACTACAGATTGGCAGTCCACTATCAGTGATGATCCTGATGCAATGTGTATGCACTTGACCCAGAATATTCTGGAAGGAATGCGCCGATACATACCGTCTAAGCAGTTGTGCATGAAACCATCTAACCCCTCTTGGTGGACACCGGAATGCACTGAGGCTGTAGCACAGAAACAAAGAGCATGGAGGAGACTCTGCGCCGACGGGTCAAGTGCCCAGCTGCAAGCCCGTTACAATGTCGCCAAGCACTCGGCTAGCCATTGCCTGGCAACTGCCAAGCAGGCATTCACAGCAAGCCTGGCGCAGAAGTTAGCTTCTGGGTGTATGGCGTCTGGTGAATGGTGGCGAACCATCAAGAAGGCCTCTGGCCACGGAAACAGCCCATCCATACCTACTCTCCGCAGCACCGATGGTACGGAGCACGACACCAACCGCAGCAAAGCAGAGTGCATGGCCGAACACTTCGCCAACAAATGTAGTCTAGGGGCAGACGACCTATCCCCTCCATTTCCTTACGTCCGACCACGTACTGACCGCAACCTCTGCACCGTCCGGTTTCGCGAAACCACAGTCGAGCGAACTCTCCGCCAGCTCAACCCCACCAAGGCCACTGGTCCAGATGGGATACCTGCCCGCGTCTTGAAAGCTTGCTCTGCAGAATTGGTACAGCCGCTTTCAAAACTATTTACATGCTGTCTTCGCTCCGGTATCCAGCCACAACAGTGGAAGGTTGCAAACGTAGTTCCAGTCCACAAGCGCAAGTCTAAATCGTCGCCATCAAACTATCGACCAGTGTCGTTACTGAGCATCCTCTCCAAGGTCATGGAGACCATAGTCAACAGGGCAATGAGCAACTTCATGGAGACGAATCACGTCCTGTCAGAACGGCAATTTGGATTCCGTCGCGGCCACAGTGCAGCAGACCTGCTGACTGCTCTCCACCACCAGTGGGTGCACACCGCCGGAGATAAAGGAGCTTCTCGAGTGCTGGCCATCGACATTGCTGGAGCATTTGACCGGGTGTCTCACACTGGTGTGTTGCACAAGG